CCCTGGGACCCGAACTTGCCCGTCCCTGGAACAAACACACCACTGCCCCCACTCCACTCAGGGCCCAACAGATCCCTTTTAACCACAGGATCTGACAAACCCAATTTACTCCTGGGCCCTGACACCATTCTACCTCTCCCCCGAGACTCAACCCTCTACCCTCCTTCTACTGCCATCCCAACACCACTCCCGCTTTCTGTCACACACCAAACATCTCCTGACCTACCCTAAAACGCTTCATCTACCTAGCCCCTTTGCCAACTTGTTTCTGGCACTCTTCCTTCATGGCAGGCTATCCCCTATCCAACTGATATCTAACCTCTCACTTACCCTTACATACCTACAGTTCCATAGGAGCTTTCGAAGTGGCTGCCTGTGATGCTGGATCTTTAAGTCACAGAATACAGCGACTGATTGCTGTGAAAATAGGGCACAGTTTGCCTTCCCTTGCATTATGAGGGACTGGTCACATTTAAACAACTCCATATTTTTCAAGGAGCCCTGATCAGAAACTCTTCATCTATGCAAAGTTCTTTCTTAATGTAAAGCTGGAGCTGAGTCACAATCCGTGCGACTGCCATTCCTCTGAAACTCAGGGCCGAGGTTTTGAAAATACTTTTTTTATGGATTGTCCACCATTTCTTTTGGTGATAGTGATGCAGCAACATGAATGCCTCTCCTGTGTTTGGACAAGTGGTCATTGATTTTGCGGGAATACTATTCAATCTGGGGCATAATTACAGATGAATTTAGTTTTGTCCTCCTCTAACATGCATACTCAGCACTTCCCAACCAGTGCAGAAGGGAAACACAGAAAATTGCAAATAAGTCTGTTAATTTCACTTTCCTTTTCATCCTGGCTGACAGAAAATATGGGGTTCCAACTGCTACTCTCCTGAGATTGGGGTGGGTACAGGTTCACACTGTGGGCCCTTCGGCTATTTTCGATTTGGTATTACGTAATGAGGAAGGATCAAGTAAATGGTCTTGCAGTAAGGATCCTCTTGGATGGAGTGACCACAAGATGTTAAAGTTTCAAATTCAAATTGAAAGGATGAAGACAGTCACATACAAGAATTTTAGTGCTGGGCAAAGGTAATTATACAGGCCTGAGGAAGGAGTTAGCTCAAGTGGACTTGGCAAAAATACTGAAGGGCAGGACAGTTAAAGACCAGTGGCAAATGCTTAGGCAGATGCTAAATACCTCTCATGTAAAGTATACCCGAGAGGAAGAGGAATTATAAAAATCATCTATGGCTTAACAAAGAAATCAAGGATAACATAAAAGCAAAATCTAAGGCATATCAAACTGCACAAGGTAGTGGCACTCTGGAGGATTGACCGAACTCTGAATGTCAACAAAGGGTTACTAAAGACAAACTCAAAAGAGCTAAGACGAACTACGGAAGGAAACCAGCAGAAAACATAAGCACTGATATTAAAAGCTTCTATCAATATATAACAAGAGACTAGTGAAACTAAATGGTGGCCCTTTAGAGGACCAAAATGGCGCGGTAGTAATGGGAAACTCAGAAACTGCAGAGACGCCAAAGCAATATTTTGTCTCTGTTTTCACAGTGGAAAATAATATTTCCTTTCCAAAAAACTGCAGTTACTACAGAGGAACTTGGTGAAATTAGGAAGAAGGTATTAAGTAAATTGATAGGAATAAAGGTTGACAAGTTCCTGGAGCTTGATGGTTCTTAAAGAAGGTGGCAGCAGAGATAGTGGATGCATGAGTTCTGATATTCAAAATTCCCTGGATTCTGGAAAGGTACCAGTGGATTGGAAACATGCTAATGTGATACCCTTAATCAAAACAAAAGGGAGATAGGCAAAAAGTGCGAAACCCTAGACCAGTTAGTTTGACCTCTTGTGGGAAAGTTGCTGAAGTCAGTCATAAAGAAGGAGCTAACTGAACACTTGGAGAAACAAAGCTCAATTCATGGTTTCACACAGGGCAAGTCATGCTTGACAAGCTTGCTGGAGTTCTTTGAGGATGTAACCAGCAAGGTGGATAATGGGGATCCCACAGATGTGGTATATCTAGAGTTCCAGAAGGCATTTGACAATGTGCCGCATAGAAGACCAATCCAGAAGGTTAGACTCCAAGGGTGCTAGGAGTAGAGTGTTGGCTAGGAAGCAGGGTGGGCTGACAATAGAAAGTAGAGGGTTGGGATAAATGGGTCTTTCTCTGGATAGCAAACTGCAACTAATGGAACGCCGCAGGGTTCAGTTCTCAGACCTCAACTATTTACAGCTATATAAATGATCTGCAAGCAGGGACAGAGGGTAACATAGCAACATTTGTGGATGATACTATGAATAGGTGGGAAAGCAGGCAGTGATGAGAGAGAAAGAATTTACAGATGGATATCAATAAGGTAGGGGAATGGGCCAGAGTTGGGCTGAAGGATCTGTTTCCATGCTGTATGACTCTAAGTGTGAGGTTTTAACAATAAAAAGGTAAATTATTTAAATGGGAAACAGATTGAAAGTGTGTCAATGCAGAGGGATCAGTGCGTGAATCACAGAAAGTGGATATGTAGGTGCAGCATATAATAAGGAAAGCAAATGCAGTCCTGGCATTTACTGCAAAAGGACAGGATTATAAAAGTAAAGAAGTGTTGTTACAATTATACAAGGCCTTGGTGAGACCACAGCTGGAGTATCATGTCCAGTTTTGGTTTCCGTACTTGAGGAAGGATTTGGTGGCACTGGAGGCAGTTCACAGGAGGTCCACCAGATTGATTCCAGGGATGAAAGGGCTGCTATAGAGAAGCAGTTGAATAACTTGGGCTTGTACTCGCTGGAGTTCAGAAGAATGAGGGGGGATCTGACTGAGCTATATAAAATGCTAATGGGGATTGATAAGATGGACATTGAACAGATGTTCCCCCTTGTGGGACAATCTCGAACAAGTCATAGATATAGAGTGGGAGGAGGTAAGTTCAAAACTGAGATGAAGAGAAACTACTTCTTTTAGAGGATTGCGAATCTGTGGAACTCACTGCCCCAGAGTGCAGTGGAGGCAGAATCAATCAACAGATTCAAGAATGAAATGGATATGTTTCTGATGAAAAGCAGGATAAAGGGCTATCGGGAGCAGGCAGGAAAGTGGAGTTGAGACCAGATAAGATCTTCCATGATCATGTTAAATGGCAGAGCGGGTTCAAAGGGCTGAGTTGCCTACTCCCGTTCCTAAATCCTATGTTCCTAACTACATGTTAACCACTGATTTGAATGAAGATACAATGACCTCTAATGTTTAAATGATCCTGAATCACATGGCATGAATCACAAAATGCTAGTGGGTAGGTACTGCAAGGATTTAGTTTGGCAAATAAAATGTTATTCTTTAATTCTAGGAAGATAAAGTCTTGTTACAACCATGTAGGGTGTTTGAGAGACTACACCATAGAGTGCTGCTTACTTTCCCCCTTTTAAGGAGGGGGTAGCATATCTTCGAAGTTCAGAGAAGGTTCATCAATCCAAGATGGTGGCAAAGTAGGACATTTCAGCCAGAGCTTATCTGCTCCATTCATTTCTTTTTTTTCTCTCTCTTTCGTGTTTTTCTTTTCTCCCTTCTTTCTTCTAGGTGACGTCCTGAATTCCCAGTCTCAGTGCAGACTTGGACTCTCAGTCTCAGTGTGGACCTAACAAGGCATCCTTTCGGCCTGGCATGGTGGTCTTTTGGTCTGGTGTGACCCGAACATGGACTTCTGGTCTTGAGGTGATTCCAGAGTTGTCTCCCGGCCTCGAGACTCTCGAGGTGAAGCCCAGTAAGGACTGGAGGCTAGGTGCCAGCATGGACTGGGTTGGAAGGACTGTTGTTTTGAACTTCTTATTTCTCTATTTTTTAGTTTATTCCTATGATCTGTAAAACTGGACTTCTTATTTCTTTATTTTCTAATTAATTTTCCTAAGAACTTCTACTGAAGAATTGTACCTAAGTACTTTGTACCCAAGATGGTGCCATAAGTGGCGACTTCTAAACTTTTCACTGCACTCATTTGAGTATATGCGACAATAAAGCTAATTCAATTCAATTCATTGCTGACATGAAACGCTTGCCCTACAATTAAAGACTGAGCAGCCTCAATCTATTCTCATTGGAATTTAGAAAAATGAGGGTGATCTCATTGGAACATTAAATTCGAAGTGATCTTGACAGGGTAAATAGCGAGAGGATGTCTCCTCTTGTGGGGGAATCTGGTACTGGGAAAAACAATTTCAGAATTAGAGTCTCCCAGTGAAGAGAGAGTTAAGGAGAGCTGTTAATCTTTGAAATTCTCTATCCCAGACAGTCAAAGCAGCTGAATCATAGAACACTATCAAGGCTAAGTTGGACAGACTTTTGGTCTTCAAGAAAATCAAGGATTTGGCAGAAAGAGATAAGTAATAATCTTTTCTAATAATGGAACAGGCCTGAGAAACCAAACAACTTACTTCCGTTCCTGATTCTTCTGTGATTTTCATTGTATCAGTTTCCAAGATTACTGTCATATCTTCAAACAGCACTTATTTTAACAACAACAATTGCATGTTACAAAACTAGTAGACTAATAGGACAGAGTTTGATACCAAAGATAGATGAACAAAAGCTTGGTCAAAGAGGCTGGTTTTAAGGAGATCTTAAGGAAGAGAAAGGCTTAAGCAGGAAACTCAAAAGCTCAGCAAGGAATACACAGTGAAAGTGGCCATAGTCCCAGAGAACTGGAGACTGTTTCTCATTTGAGAGATGACAGGCAGTGAGGTAGAGAAGATTGAGCTTTCAGGGGACTTAAGCTGGGACAGGTAAGCGAGCCTGCGATATTGGCATCCCTCTGCATTATGAGCCAGCTGACCAATCTAAGGCCAACGACAACAAAAAGGCAGGGCAAAGGAAGAGAGGGTCAGGTAAGAAGCTAGAGACGTAGAGATCTCCAAGGGTTGTGGGGTGGAGGAGGTCGCAGAGACAGGAACAGGAGACAAGAAAGAACTCGCAAGTGCCAACTTACAGCAAAGACTGCGTTCTGGAGTCCAAAGGGGATGGGCGTCAGTCTCGCCAGGAAGACCACCTTAAGCCCACTGGTACCATCCAGCACTCGGATGATGGCACTGAGCTTGGCATTCCCTCTGACCAGGGCACCCATGGGTGCCAGCAGCCAGCGCTGGGTAACCAGATGAGCTGCCAGGGTGCCCACCGCCACCCCAAAGACCAGCACCGCCAGCCCCCGCTGGAAGCCATACAGGTATCCCGGTGCCAAGCTGAGCAGCGTGTATCCCCAGGTCCAGGGGAAGGAGATGAGGATGAAGGCCAGGCTGAAGAGGAGCAGGCCGGCCCGGAACTGCTGACCCTCCAGCCAGCGCAGCACGAGGCGCCGGCACGACCAGAACGCCACTCCGCCCAGCGCCGTCCCCACGGCAACGGCCAGGAAACAGCAGCGAGCCGAGCAGGCCCGGAACCGCGACACCGACAGCGGCTCCCCCGGCAGCACAGCACCCCTCACACCGCTCGGCATCACCGCCACGACCGCGTTCTCCCACCGTCACACCGCCCGCCCGCGGCACACGGTCCCCGCCCCCGTCACCCGGCGACCGAGTCCTACACACGGGACCCGCCCCCTTCACCCGGGCACTGCCCCCTTCGGAAGGGCCCCGCCCCCTGCAGGTGCGCCCCGCCTCCGGCACCTCGCGACCGCCAACTGCAGCCGGGCACCGCCCCCTGCGCTTGGTGACCGCCCCCAGCACACGGTCACCGCCCCCGGCACCTGGTGACCGCCCCCTGCAGCCGGGCACCGCCCCCTGCGCGTGGTGACCGCCCCCTGCACGCGGGCACCGCCCCCTGCGCATGGTGACCGCCCCCAGCACACGGCAACCGCCATCAGAGCCCCGCCCCCGACATCAGAGCCCCATCTAATTACCCCAAGATTCCCCTGTTACACTGAGCTACCCAGTGTCCTGCCATTCCTTAAATACTCCCTCATCCTGATTGTTCTTCCAAAGTCCATCACCTCACACTTATCGGGGTTAAGTACCATCAGCGACTGGTCTGCCCATCTGACCAACCCATCTACATCTTTCTGTATCCTACAATTATCTTCACTATTAACCGTTCCGTCAATCTTGGTGTCGTTTTCAAATTTGCTTAACATTCCCCCGACATTTTCATTTATATCATTTGTGTGAATAACAAATAATAAGGGTCCCAGTACAGGTCCTTGTGGTACACCGCTGGACACCGGCCTCCAGTCCTATTACCAAGCCAGTTTCCGATCCATCTCACTAGGTTTCCATCAATTCCATGTGCTTTAACCTACTCAATTAGTATTCCATGTGGGACCTTGTCAAAAGCTTTGATAAAATCCACATAAACTCCATCAACTGAACTTCCCTCATCAAGACATTTGATCACATTTTCAAAAAAATCTAACAAATTTTCTAGGCATGACCTTCCTCTGACAAAGCCCTGCTGACTATCCCTAATTAACCTATGCCTTTCCGAGTGGGTATTAATTTGCTCCTTCAGAATTTTCTCCAGTAGTTTCCCTACCACTGACGTGAGATTCACCGGTCTATAATTTCCTGGTTCATCTATACCACCCCTCTTAAAACGTTGAACCACATTAGCTATCCTGCAGTCCTCTGGCACTTCCCCCATGGCCAGAGAGGAATTGAAAATTTGTGTCTGAGCCTCTGCAATTTCCTGTCTCACCTCCCACAGCAGCCTGGGATGCAATTCATCCAAGCCAGGGGATTTGTCTGTTTTTAAGAGTGACAGAGCCTCCAATACCTCCCCATTTCTTATTTCAAACTGCTCAAGTTTCTCACAGTCCCTTTTCCTGAATTCCGTACCTACGTTCTCTTTTTTTCCAGCGTGAAGATGAACAGAAGTATTCATTCAACACCTTTCCAATATCCTGTGGCTTCACACACAGGTTGCCCCCTTGATTCCTAATGGGTCCTACTCTTTCCCTGGTTAACCTCTTCCTTTTAATTTATTAATAAAATAGCTTAGGATTCTCCCTAATCCTGTTTGCAAGTCCTTTCTCATGCCTCTTTTTGCCCTTCTAATTGCTTTCTTAAGTTTTCTGTATTCCTCTAAGGCCATAGCTGAATTTCTCCTTCTGGACTTGCTAAGAGCCTTACTCTTCTTTATCCAGTCCTGAATTGTCCTAGACATCCATAGTTCTCTGAACCTATTGTTCCTACATTTCCCTCTAAAGGGTATATGTTGGACCTGTACTCTCCCCAGTTCTTTCTGCATGCCCCCGTCCCCATTTCTCCACTGTAGCCTTCACCATAAGGAGCTGTTCCCAGTCTACTGTGGCCAGATCCTGCATTATTTTAATAAAATCTGCCTTCCCCCAATCCAAAGCCTCTTTTGCAGGCTATTTTTTTCCTTGTTCAGAAGAAATTTGTACAAAACTGTACCATGTTGTGGTCGCTATTGACTAAATGTTTCCCCACCGCCATATCAAACATCTGTCCAGCTTCTTTCCCCAGAACCAGATCCAGTGCTGCACTGACCCTTATTGGGCCTTCTACACATTGATACAAAATACTCCTCTGGATACATTTCAGGAAATCCAGATCCTCTAAACCCTTAACACTATGACTACGCCAATTTATCTTGGGAAAGTTGAGATCCCCTAGTATAGTTATTACTCTAACACATCTCTGTGAACTGTCTACATGTTTGCTCCTCTATTTCCTGCTGACTCTTTGGGGGCCTATAATACATTCCCAGTAAAGTAGCATTTCTAAGTTCTACCCACAAAGCATCATTTGAGGACTCTTCCAAGATATCATCTCTCCTTATTGCAGTCATTGACTCCTTAATTAATAGTGCTACACCACCAACTTGGTGCACTCTCCTCTGTCTCACCTATATTTCTCCAGAATGTTAAATTGTCAGTCCAGCCCTTACCTCAACCATGTTTCTGTGTAAGGGTACAACTTTGGTTCTGGTCTCTTTTGAAAAGCAGTTGGTTTAGTTACAGTGATTATAGTAAAAGGCTCAGGCCCAAGATTCATGGGACAAAATTGGTTGTGAGAGATTCACCTTGATTGGCTGAACATTTTTTGAATAGAAAATGGCTGCCTGAGCGAAGTCCTAATTAAATACCCAGAAATCCTTTGGGTGGCGGAAGAGGGTGAAACGGCATTAGGAACACAAGGAACAAAGTTTATAAGAATCATGGAGATGGCCCCACAGGGGTAAGGCATGGTCAAAGCAAGGTCAGAACTGTGACACATAAAGTTTGGGAAGGTGCGATGGTCCTGAGCAAGCACATGGACTGTATGAAAGCCGCAAATTCTCACAAACGATGTGGGAGCAAAATGTGCCCTGCCCCTCAGAACCACTGGAAATGCTGCCGGAACCCAAGGGCTCACCATCTCCATCAAGAATTGGCCAAGGCCCCTCTGAATCAGGTGGACGTGGTGGATGGAGCCACCTTGATGTCTTTGCCGCTGGACGAGGAGTAGAATTCTACTGAGGCGCTCCTGGTGCAAGGTGCAAGCTCTGTGCATTGCCGACCGAGTTGGGAGGAACCTGACCCAGTGCTAAAACGCCCCAGGGAGGCTGTCCAAGAAATAAGGACCAGCCTGGAGTTGGGGGCTGTGGGGGGAAGGGTGATTTGATGATTGTAAGGAGATCAGCCAGCTGGGCGTCATAGAATATGAGTTCCCTGATTGGGGCTGTTAACCTGGTCCAATCAGATGAAAAAGGAAAAGATGGTGCCTGACACTGTATGAGGTAGTACAGTAGTCAGGGAACTGTTCATGTGTAAATAAAGGGTGACTTGGTGATGGGATACCGGCCTCTTGTGGAGTTATTTCAGCCTAGGGTAATGGTCATGTCACTGGACTGTTCATCCCAGACTGAATGTTGCTTTTTTTCCTTTTTATTTTCCAATTCTTTAGGAGATTTTAAATCCCCTGTTTGTATTTCTTCTTTTTCCTTTTCTTTCTGTTATCCCCACACTACTTAGATCTTGTTTTTCCCCACAGCAGCCATGTTGTGTGTATGTGTGTGTGTGTGTGTGAGTGTGTGTGTGTGTATATCTGTGTGTGTGTGTATGTGTGTGTGTGTGTGTATGTGTAAGTGCAGATACTCAGTGTACACCCATTGTGCAAAAGAATTTATTCAATATTTCCGCCACCAGGAAAACACCCATGTGGCCAGGGAACCAGTAAAACCAAAGCTGGATAAGGGCAATGCTGACATGAAAAAGAAATTGAAGGGGAGGGTAGGGATCAAATCCAAATAGAATTGGAAGGGGAGATAAAGCACCCCAACCCCCCGCAGTGCCCACCTCTTCCTAAAGGCATCGAGACTGTGGGTGCACACCATGTGCTCCTTTTCCAGGGACACCCGAGCTCGAAAGAGGGGCAGGCAGTCAGTGTAAATGAACCCTTCCACAGCCCGCTGCCTGGACCTGTTAAAGATCAGCTTGGCCAGGCCCAGGAGCAGACCCACGAGGGGATCCTCTGACCCACCCGTACCCCTCCGCACCTGGTGCCCAAAGATCAGGAGCTGAAGTGTCACCAAAAGCAGAGGAGAAGGTCTTTAAGATAACCAAAAAGGGAGTGCAAACACCCACACCCAATATCCACAAGGTCCACGGACTCCACAGCGCCACAAAACAGACAGTTGGGCTGGGAGACCACGAACCACCGCAATCTGCGGTTACATGGGATTGCTGTGTGCAACACCCTCCGCCCCCAGATTCCCGAGGGAAAGGGGGAGGACTCCTGCGTAGAGAGCCCTCCACTGGGGATCCCCGCTGCCTGGTGATAAATGGGCACTGTAAGGTGTGCCCGGGTGGTGGGTGAAGGAGAAGAGATGGATAGTGTACAGCAGCAGTCTGTACAGGGTCCGCCGTTTCGCCCCTCTCTAATCCATACTACCTATGTTCTGGAGGCAGCTCAGGTTGTGGGGCACAGGCTCCCGCGGGGAGGTACGGGATCCCCGGGCCGATGTGAAATTCCGTCCGGGCAGGGGTACGCGCAGACGGGATCCCACCGTACATCTGAGCATCCTCCAGCTGGTGCACAACGTCAGGTCCGAGCACTGCCGTTTTAAGGCATTGGATGGCAGTGGCTGTGAGCTGGACGTCTACTGCCGCCCTCCGTGCCAATCCCTGTGGCAGCATCCAGCCCAGGCCCCCCAGCACCCAGCACGTCCCCGACAGACTAAAGGTCAGCATAGTCCGACCATAGGCCTGCTGTCACATTAGTGAGAGATAACAGTTGGTCGTTTAACCTGAGGGTCACCACACCTCAGGGGAGGTTGAGGAGGAGACTCCTTCATGGTAACCTCAGCTGCTCTGGGATTTGAACCCATGCTGCTGGCATCACTTTGCATTGCAAACCAACTGAGCTAAATCTACCCAGACAAATGTCATAGGGAATTAAAAACAAGCATCTATGGAACAGAAGAATCACAACAGACTCAATGTTTACTCTGTTTCTCTCTCCACAGATGCTGCCGGACCTGCTGAGTTTTTCCAGCACTTTCTGCTCTTTTTAATGGCAGATTTTCAGCACCTGCAGT